ATCCAATCCAAACAATGTCGTGAATAGCAATGCAGGCAAGGGACAGTCTGAGATACCAAAACGGAGGGCTCGGCATACTGTGTCATACCCGAGAGCGGTATGCGGGAGTTTGTGTTCCCCGACAACCAGTCCTATTTTCCATATTTTGGTCCCCAAGCAATATTCTTAAATGCTGAGTGGTAAATCAAAACATTACATAAGCAGACAAATGAGACTGAAATGGAATGGTTTTCATTTTTGACTGCCGAGACCAGCCACCATAGCTGAATTTGCGCAACTACAAATAAGATTTATGAAAAAAAAAATGTCAGTGTGTCAAATGATTACTGAGCAATCCCAAAGCTTGAAGAAAATATGGACCATTTTAAGGCATATTTGTGCATGTAAAACCACACACAGCGGAATATAACGGAGGCACAAATGTTTTTTTTGCCTCCATGTGTTGTCGTATGCGTTCAGTAAGGCATTCAGCAGGATTCTTTTCTTTATGTCATTCAAACGGACAGAGACATTGCATGATTGGGAGGACTAAAATGCGGTAACATTCCTTGTGATCACATTTCTACCATACAAATGGTAAATTCAGAAAAAAAAAATGTTGAGGGCTGGTACTGAGCTGGAAGTAGTCGAATGGCAGGACCCAAGCAACAAAACAGCAATTGTCCTTGACAACAGAGCAGGCCAGGGTGAGAAACATAATGAAAGTATTGTGCTACACTTTTCTGAGTGTGGGCAGACTGACTCAAGGTTCTATATGGAACAATTCCATCCCACTTCGGCATCTTACAAGCATGGGAGCAGTTTCGGGGGAAGGGTAAACCTCAACGTCAATATATATATATTTTAAGCATAGCATAAGGTAGATACTATTCTTATGTATCCCAAACCCTTAACTCGAAAGTAGAACATAACAACTACGGTACTTTCCGTACTATAAGGCGCTTCGGAGTATAAGGCGCACCGTCAATGAATGGCATATTTTTAAAACAGTTTTCATATACAGGGCGCATTATAAGGCGCATAGAATAGAAACTACAATAGTGGCTGAGATTGCATTATGCATCCACAAGATGGAGCTACGCTAAGGGGAATACAATACAATGCAGCTTTTATTTATATAGCGCTTTGACAATCACTGCAGCTGTAACAAAGCTCTTTACAGGACATTTCAAATATGAGGTCCAGGCAAATCAGAATATTGATACACATATAAGGCGCATCGGATTATAATGTGCCCTGTCGGCTTTTGAGAAAATTGAATGCTAATAGGTGCACCTTATAATGCGGAAAATACGGTAAATTTAAAAACATATGACAATAATAACCCTACCTTTACATTTACAGTATGTTATGATGACCAAACAGCGACTAGTGTAAATTATTTGCATTTGAACATGACAAATAAGTGGGTTGAAACATTTGAAAGTCCAAAACACTACCTGCACGGTATTAAGCGGTGGATGAAACATGAAATCTTTCTCTGAAAAACATCATAAAACGGATTCAAGGCTCCACTGCATCTGATGATAGGAACATATAACTGAATAGCCAATGCACAATTGTGCCACATTGACTCCTCTTCTCAGTTTCCAATCGCTCAATAAAAGAGTTTATCACTCGTGCCGTAGGTAGCGAGCACTAAATCACAGCTTCTTCTGTCTCCCAAAAGATGACCTTCAGCCTGCTGTACCGACTGTTTCCATGTTTATTTGTCCCCTTTGAGAAGCCGATAAAGCACCACCTCAGCGTGATATCCCACTGCTGGCAGACTAGTGAAGAGATGAGTAGCTGCAAACTCATTTCTCCCCACAACTGTTTTCTTGGCAACCAAAATACAGTCTTATCATTTATCCCATGAACTAATATCCTCGTTGTTCAAATCCAGTTACTTTACTCATCTATATCTTCATAGTCTGTAGAGGAGCATTCAAAGCATTTTGTGGTCAAAAGAATGGGGTCTTTTTGACACAGACACTCATTGGGATGTCTGGTTGGCAGGTTCAAGCGATTGTCTTGGCTGGCTCAGTGACTTGCATTTAACAGACAAATCATAAAAAACATGTAGTTAGTCAAAGTTTTTTACTTGCATCGTCCCGGAAATTTTACGATAATCCATCCATACATCATTTTACGATCCGCTTTATCCTCACAAGGGTCGCATGTGGGTGCTGGAGCCTATCCCAGCTGTCTTCAGGCAGTAGGCGGGGGACACCCTGAACCAGTTGCCAGCCAATCGCAGGGCACACATAGACGAACAACCATCTGCGCTCACAATCACACCTAGGGACAATTTTGAGGGGTCGTTCAGCCTGCCATGCATGTTTTTTGGAATGTGGGAGGAAACCGGACAACCCGGAGAAAACCGACGCAGGCACAGGGAGAACATGCAAACTCCACACAGGAAGGCCGCAGAACCCACGACCTCTGCACTGTGAGGTCGACCCGCAAACCTTTCGACCACCGGGCCGCTTTTACTATAATATATAATGGAATAGTTTTATTGCAAAATTAATTTCAATAAATAATTGTAGTTGCCTACTCAGCAAAAAAAACAACCTAAAAAAACAAAAAAAAAAAAACCATTCCGATTCTGGAATGTGTTTCCCCACATTTCCAAATTCAAGCAGAGACTTGGTTGCCATGAGAAATTCCAAAAGAAGAAAAATAATTCTACATTGTAGTACCAGTGAAAGTTATCAAGTTATAATCTCTATTCTCAACGCAATATAAACTCTTAACCCTTACAGGGACAGCGGTTCCTACAGTGTACAGCTTATCAGGTTACATGGTGCATGAAAGGGTTAAACTACTCGTTCAAGAATCGCTGCCTGTCGTGGCAGCGGCAAGGTACTAGATGCCACAGATGTCAATCGAGTATTGTTTGCATCATGCGAAGAGTGTCATGGTTGTGTTTGGCCTTTGCCATGTTGCTCTGCTGACTCCTGCTCTTTCCGTTTCTCATTATTTGCTCTCTCCTTCCTCTCTTGCAGTCCTGGAGTGAATCAGGAGGCGGGGTCGAACTCACTCAGAGGCGGAGACTCATCCCCTCACCTGAGCCACATCATCTTGAGTAGGTATTTAGCCAGCTTCTTCCATTGTTCTGTGGTGGAAGTTTTTTTGGCTTTCGCATCGTGGCTTGCCATGCGGTCAAGCCCCAAGCATTTTCTGACGATGATCTTCTATCTTATTGAGTTAATTTTTGGATTAATGGCAACATGGCCTGTGGTCTGATGATAAGTAAATGATCGCAAAGTAGGGGGTGGCCATTTTGCCACTTTCTGTCAACTGAATGTGACATCATAGGCAACGAGCAATCACGGTTCACTTGTTTTCTGAAGCTTAGCCGTATTTGGTCGTTACCTGAGCCCCCCACTGAGATGGATAATAACGGGTGGATTTTTCCGCTTAACTCAGATTCCCCACTCACAGTACGAATCAGAATTTGATGTAAATAAATATTGTTGGGGCAACACAAAGCACATGACTTCTTTTCGCGATTTAATTTTTTAGTTTATAAGGTGTACACCGTTTGTTGACTATTCTAGTCGAAGGTGGGCAAGGTTTTATATGATCCCAATACTTTTCAGCCGCAGTAGCCAACAGCTTTTCACATCAATTGTGCCACTCAAATATATTAATTCCAACCAGTTTTTGCTCACCACATCACTAATGATCTGTAATAACGTGGACGACGTTACCTTTGATGTAAAACTTGAAAAGGTATCTTGAAAAAATATCAACGTATTTGTTTCTGAGCCAAATGAATGTGAAGACTTGTGACGACCGAATTAATGACGTTTCACAGTGAACCAATGTTACATAAAACGTTGAGAGTGCACCTGCATTGAGGAAGAGATGATTTTACTTTCTTTTGAACAAACCACTGGTGGGGGAGGTTAACTCACCCTTCTTCCTGGCTTGCTAGTGGGATCTGGGCAAGTTTGGAGAGATTCTTGGCGTATTCCTCCTCAATCTTTATCCTGAGAGGGAAGGAAAGGAGTTTCGTTACCTGTTGTGTCCTTTGCACAACGCGCTCTATGACTGTGCATTTCCTGGCTTGTGCAACACAATGATGGAGCACAAAAAGGGGAAACCACATTTTGCGACTGTACGGTTCGCATGGCAACCGGAGAATGAAGCATAACAGAAGCCGAAAAGAGGAATGGAGAAAAAGACGGTACCTCTCCCGTATAAATTCGGCCATCTCTTTCTGCATTTGTTTCCCTTTCAGCTGTTTCTGCAGTAACACTTCAAACCCGGTGATGTAGTTGTTGCCCTGGGGATCCTTCTTATCGGTCTAATAGATAAACACAGCAAGCACACGAGAAAGGCTTTGAACAAACACTTTGCAGTCAGCATGCGAATGTCACACCGCGGCGTACTTCGCGGGTTTTATCACTGGCAAAGTCAGCAAACCGGGCAGCAGCTTAACATCAGATTCCAAGCTGCCACACTTAACAGGCGTCAAATCATGGAAAAATCCATCCATCACGAATTCAAAACAATGCATTCAAAGCTGGCGGCGACATATTATTTACATTTTTCTTTCTTCCAACGGAATAAAGAGCTTTGCACAGCATGACGCGCTATCCGCAGCGCTCCCGCGGTCGTGACAACAGTAACCATGCGGTTGGAAACTGAAAGGGAGTTGAACTAAAAAAAATAAATAAATAAATTATAATCACTTCATGCAACTAGGAGACCTGGGTCACCATGGTGATGACAGAGCCACTCTGAACCTTATCGGGATACAATACAAACAAAACAATGTTGTGCTGGAGTTGTGGCTTTCGTTCCAAGCTAAGCGACAGTAACTACTGCTTCTTCGAAACTTATATTATAATGAATAGATAACCTCCCCGTTCGGTAAATCATGACATAGTAAACTTAAAAGTTACTTTAAATGGTCGATATGATGCCTTTTCTAATCATGGCTTGGCTTTGCTGACCACAGGTTTCTTGTTTGCGCCGATAGAGGGAATTCTCAGGAATGATTGTTTTTCATTTGATTATTTTACAGTTGGGCGGCCCGGTGGTGGTCCAGTGGTTAGCGCGTCGACCTCACAATGCAGAGGTACCGGGTTCGATTCCAGATCCAGCTTTCCTGTGTGAAGTATGTATGTTCACCCTGTTTCTGCGTGGGTTTTCTACGGGTGCTCCGGTTTCCTCCCACATTTCCAAAAGCATACATGGCTGATTGAACACTCCAAATTGTCCCGAAGTGTGAGTGTGAGCGCGGATGGCTGCTTGTCTCTGTGTGCCCTGCGATTGGCTGGAAACCAGTTCAGGGTGTCCCCCGCCTACTACCCGATGACAGCTGGGATAGGCTCCAGCACCTCAACGACTCTTGTGAGGAGAAAGCGGATCAGAAAATGGATGGATGGATGGATTCAATTTGTGTTGAAATTGCTTTAATGGTCTGGCTCCTGGATACTTGCCCGGAATGTTGTGTTTGGATGCTCCAGTAAGAGCCCTGCGGTCATGTGACCAGTTGTCGCTAACCTGTCCGTGTCCGAGGCTGAAAATCAGAGGTGACAGGGCGTTTTGCGGTCGCAGGACCTAAACTCTGAAAACTCACTCTGCTTTATCTATGAAGTGTTTTCAGTCACTATTTAAAAAAAAACAAAAAAAACAAAAATTTGCACTGGGTTTTAAAATGAGCTGAGCTGGACATTTGCACCTAATTCTGCAAACAGTCTTTATTTTAAATATGTGCAGCAGTTTCCGCTTTACAAATATATTCCATGTCTACATATGCATACATCTAAATGTACGTATAAATACCGAACCTTGACCTTGACCTCCATTTGTTTGAAGAGATCATTCGAGAACCAGGAAGTGGGCTGATACTCACCAACGGGATCACCAATGAAGTCCACTGAGTGATGCTGAAACAATGTTACATCCCTCTGTGTTTGAAAGACGCATTATAACAAAACCGGGTTGGAGATTCACCGCAGTGTGTTTGCACCACACATCACACATGGTCGAGATTACCGGTACACCGCAGGAGATGGCGACTTGTACACGGAGCATCAGAGGCCAGCGGGATCTCGTGCTAGATCAACGCAATCTCTTATCCAACCAACCTCTCAAGTGATTTTAACGAAAAGCTGACGCCGATTCTCAGCGTGCATAGTTGTCGAGGTAACATGAAAAGATACGGCGTTGTATATGTCCACATGGGAGCACGGGGATGTCATTTAGCGAAACAAAGGGAAGGGAGGAAATCCAAACAGTCGAAAGGGAGAGATTCTTGTGATTTGTTTCTGCTTGGCAGATTTAAAACAAGGCATTTATTTCTCGATGCGTGCGACTTTGGATTTCGTAGTCGTAGTTTTGTCTGTTTGTGGTGATTGTGCTTCCAAAACAAGACTTCAATTTTTGCATGCTGAAAAACATGGAAGGTGGGGACTCACCCAGAAGTAGTCACAGTAACTCCATTCGTTTGGTTTAAGCAGCTGTTGTTCTGACATGGCGGCAGGCAGAGGGAAAGTCACACAATTAATCTGGGGAGAGTGAGACAGATCAAGAGAGCATCTCACAAAGAGGGCAGATCCATGGGTAATTTATACAAAGCCATCTTGGAAAAAAAATATACTGAGGCCATCTTGGAAATTGGCAAAGAGGTGATAACATTCGCAAATGTCAACATTAAAATTTTTAAGGGTTTCCCCCCCCCCCCCATTTGAGAACTAAAAATTTCGATCATCAGACTTGGATGGTATCCAATATGCTGACAAAGACAACAATTGACAGTTTTAAGAATTCCCTCCCTTCAAGAAAGCCAGAGCTCCGTTTCCTAGTGCAAAAAGAAAAAAAAAAAAAGAAATCGAAAGAATCCCTCGGATGGAACTGCAGCAACAAGCACTTGTCTGTGAGGGTATGAAGTCAGATCTCATGACAACAAATGTCATGTTTCACCACTGTGGTGGGAACATTCATGCTGACCAGTTCAGAGTCAGAAGTCAAACGGGGGTGGGGGGGGGGGGGAAACGT